GCATTTCAATTCCCTCTCAACTGGTGCTAAAGGAAACATTTTATCATGTAATTAGATACTGTAAACGCATACCTATTTTTTTACTTCTTTTAACTTTATTATTTAACTATAGTTGATAGATTTCCTGTAAATTTTATGTTTTTCTATTTTCTATTTTTTCATCATTATAAACATATGCATAATATGTGAAGGGTCTGTATAATTTGTTGAATCATACCTCCAACTACTATTTGTACCTCTATTCCTAACAGATTATTCAGCAAGAACTATGGATTCACTCCTTGTTTAATTGAGTTTTCCTCTCTTCCAGGGGGAAATATTTCACTTACATGTTAATCATTGCCTCTAATGAGGGCTTCCAATAATGACAGCTTGAATTACACCATACTCTAGAAACAAAGCACCTATTCCAATACCAGGCAAACATAGTTGCTTCACTCCAATCCTGTGCAACAAAAATCACATTAAACAATATATGAACATGTGATAGATGTCTTGCTAATCAATCTATTCTGTGAACTTTCTCGAAATTTCGCTGGTAGTCATCTTTTCTCCTCTGGTAATGAAATTTCCAGGAACTGAGGTTAGAATTTCTATTGGCCCTTCTGCTATTATAGAATGAAAAACACTCAGTAATGGGAAGACAGCTTTTCCTGGTACATAAGCTGGTAGGTCACTCAGTTTGTCTCAGAGGTCAGATCGAGTTTTTGTCACAAGTGATAGGAACAAATCCAGCCACACTAGAGACACTGTTCACTTCCTTTCTTTTCTGACAAAGAGATCAGCTCTTCACTAATATTCCTTTCTACTTACCTTCATATGCATGTTAATTACAAATATATGAAACTTATCTATTACATCCAGTTTTTAAATATTTTCAATCAAAAATAGTTCCAACACTCAAATAAATACACTTGCATAGTTTGATATACTATCTGTAAATTGAAAACAGTTGGACTGTTTGTAGAATTATTATGCTAGAAGATTGTAGTTATTTCCTTGGTTTGTTGGGTTCAGAGTAGCATTATAATGATGTAAATTAATATGATTGTATTTCCCTAAAGGGTATCATCTATGCTACTCATTCATTCTAAACTGAAAAATGTCAGAGAAAAAGTGCAGTTTGTCATTGTGACTTTCTAGAATTCGCTTAGCATTCCAATTTCTTACATTAGCTTTTTCTCTTCAGTTCCATTTATAGTAGTCCAAAACTGCTGAGAAATTATCCCCTCAAAGAAAATAAGTTCATATTCTTAATAGCTATGCTCAGATAAGGATACTAATCTGTGCCTTACAGAATTATTCTAAAGATAAAATGAGCTGTCTTGTCTCTCCAATTACCTTGAAATGCTCCTTAAGAATAAGAATCCTGTCTTCTGCTTCTTTTTTCTTTACACTCTGCCAGCAGAACATTTTCTTCCCAAAAAAATCCCACAAAATTGTTGTCAACTAATTAAAAGTACATGTCTTCTATTTCTGAGTATTTCATCGCTGGAGCTTTTAGGTGGATATAGAAAGTAGATCCACAGTGGGTGTAAAGAAGTGTTCCCTCAATAGTCCAGGGCAAGGTATCAGAACTAATAAGAGCAAGGTCAAGTCACTGCAGAAGACAGAGAGCATGGCTGGAGGATTCAGAGTTTAAACCATGTAGCAGAAAGTGCCAGGGTCCTAGCTGAGTGAGAAGGGATCCCACGCCATTGTGATGGAGAGTTTAGGAAGGAGAATCAGAGCCCAGTAAAGAGAGGCTAGCACCCATGCAGGGAAAGAACTAGAGGCAGCGATGGGTGATTGGCAACACACAAGGGGATGGATCAAGGAAGAAAACCAGAGTTCCTTGGAGGTATGGCTGATTTAAGGTCTCAGTCATGAAAGTACAAGATGAACCTGGGAAATATTTTTTGTTTTAGAAAATAATAAAATATTCTGGGGCATGTGTTGTGGCACAATCAGATAGGTCACCTCTTGGGACACCCACATCCAACTAAGAAGTGCTGATTCAAGTCCCTACTGCTACACACTCCCGATCCAGCTTCCTGTTAATGTGCCTGATGAGCTCTAGTATCATCTATGCTACTCATTCATTCTAAACTGAAAAATGTCAGGCATTTGGAGAGTGAACCAGCAGATGAAAGACCTTCTGTCTCTCTTTGCCTTACCCTCTCTATCACTCTGCCTTTCAAATTAAATAAATAAATATTTTTAAAAAGGAAGTAAGGAAATACTCAAGGAATAGTAGGAACATGTCAAAAGCACAGAAAAAAATGTTAATGAGAACAAACTATTCAAATTCAGAGATCATCTAAGCACCAAAATAAATGGGAATTCCCATAGATTACAACCCATTGAACAAAAAAGGAAAATCATGGGTACATGCTATGAAAAAAATGAATAAAATGAAAGTTCAGAAAGAAAGTATTATTTTCATAGATTCAGAGTAATACTCAATGTATCAATAATTTCAAAGGAGAAAGGAATAACTTTGAAATTGATATACCTAATGGATATCACTTTAATAAATTACTCAGGTGAACAACATAAATATTGGGTCAAATTGAAACTGGACACCACCTGAAAGGATATTCAACAAACAATGTTGTGTAATATGACGTTACAAGATGTGTAATAGAAATTTAATCATGAAAAGACATCAGACAACCCCAAATAGAAAGACATTCCACAAAACAACTAGCCTGGAGCCTCAAAAATGTCAAGGTCAATAAATCAAGGGAATTTTGAGGAAAGCATGCAAATTAGTTAGGAATAAAAGCCAAATACAGGAAGCTTGTGCTGTGGCATAGCGAGTAAAGCCGCCACCTGCAGTGCCAGCATCCCATATAGGCGACAGTTCTATTCTCCACTGCTCCACTTCCAATCCAGCTCTCTGCTATGGCCTGGGAAAGCAGTAGAAGATGACCTAAGTTCTTGGGCCCCTGTACTCACATGAAGCTCCTGGCTCCTGTCTTCAAATCGGCGCAGCTCTGGTCATTGTGGCCAATTGGGGAGTGAACCAGCGGATGGAAGACTTCCCTCTCTCTCTCTCTCTCTCTCTCTCTGCCTCTCCTTCTCTCCTTGTGTAACTCTTTCAAATAAATATATAAATCTAAAAAAAAAATAAACTAAATGCAGTGAGTGCTCTGGATTGAATCTTTTTGTCATACATAAATTATAACATTAGGGAAATTGGCAAAATGGAATTAAGATCTGAGGATTTGACCATAGTATGTGTCAACTGAACTTTCTGGTTTTGATGGTTTATTAAGATTTTTTAGGAGAATAATTTTCTTTGTAGGACTACCACTAAATATTAATAGGCACTGTGAGATACTATGCCCTTATTTGTAGAACTAAAGCTTTGAGGTGTGATACAGCATCTGTTAGTAACTGAATCTCAAATGAATGAGAAAAAATTTCTTTCTCCTGTATATTCAACTTTTATACAATTTTATAATTTTTATAAAATGAATAGGAAATGACACTATTTATTAACATCGCAAAATATTTCAATTCCCTAAAATACACCATTTTATACATATACAATTAAAAACTTTCATACATACACACAATGGAAATTATAATACAAATACTATCTATTTTGTGTGCATTATCTACCCAGTTAAACATATGTCTCAAACATTTAGGTATGATAGTCAAACATTATCTATTTGGATTAAAAAGCAAATAAGCCACTATAAAATAAAAGTAGGAAGTATCACTATGCTCCTAACTCTGTATCTATGAAATATATAAAATTTGTTCACCTTATGTTAGTAAAAATATGTTTAAAAATACAGAAACAACATACTTGTGTGGGGAATAGTGTTATGTCATTTGGTTCAACTTGTCCCTTGTTTTCTTTTGTTTTGTATTTGAAGGAAAAAAAAGAGCTATTCAGTTTCCTTAACTATGAGTTTCCTTGTCTGCCCACCACAAGGTGATTATCGCTAGAGCACAATCCACGTCTTATTCAGCTCTGCATAGTCCATGTTTATAACATCTTCCAAACAACCATTTATTAAACAGTTGAGGAATGAAAGACTTTTTCCAAGAACCTTTGAGCAGCCCGTTGAGCAGGGGAATGGTTATTACCACTTGAAATGACTGAGCTGTTCTACAGAAAACGTCCACAAGACACAGCAGCAGATTTGAAGCAGGTGTGTAGGCAAAAGTAAATGAAAGAACCTATTAAAACCAGGTCAAAACAGAAAATGTAAAGAATATAGCAAACAATTTTAATCTATAGGTTATATATACTTTCTTTCTTTTCCTTTACCTCTTGTAAGAAAACTGCCTTTCTCTTAGAGATAGGATCCTGAGGTCCTATTAAATCCTTTCCGCTAGGAACTGACAACTAGAACAAACGAAGCTTAGACAGTTGACTAGTGAATGTAAGTGTGTAATCTAAGAAACTGCCATGGGAAAATAAGAAAAAAGGTGAGAGCAGAAATGTCTATGGGTTGCATAAAGATACTGTAAATACGCCATCCAAATATTCCAACGCTGGTTCTAGTCCAATTTCACTTCCTGTCTGTGGGATTTATGTGATATTCTTGTATCCTTCCAATAGAATAGTCCTGTTTTGTGCCAAAGATACTCTAAATGAATTTTGTTCCTTATAATCAAAATATTACTGATGAAGAAATGAGTGTTGTACATACAGCTAACATCTACCAAAATCAAAGTAATGGCAAAACTAGAATATTTAGACAAAGCAATAATAATATAAGTAATAATAATAATAATAAAGGAAAAACAGAAACCAATTCACTTGAATTAACCAAGTATTTTTTTCAACTAAAGCTAAAGTTTTGCTGTAGTTTCTGGATAAGATCAATATGAACAACTTGGTGGCAGATCTTTGATCAATCCTCTTTGATCAATCCTCATTTTTTTGGATGTGTTGTTATTTTTTTAATAAAACATCACTTCATTTGTTACCGTGAATAGTAAATGAGAGGCAATAATTCAAGAGGGCTGTAGGAAGCTTTTTTATCCACGAAATAACACAGAGGACAAGTACTCTCACCACCACGCTTTTGCTTCTGTTTTTCTTTTGACCTCTGTTCTCTTACATCAGCCTGCTGCTTCCAGGATGGCATTTTTCCTTCAAATTTTGTATTTGTTAGAAGGCTAGTCTGTTAGCTTGCTTTAACAATATGGTCCCCGAGTTAGCTGAGGAACCTGGACAAGTCTTCTTTGATTTCAACTTCATCCCAAGGCCCATGAATATTTTTCTTAAAAAGCTGCAGGCGAATGAGGTAGAAAGGGCAGAGACATGAGATGGAAATCAGCAGAAGGGCAAAGAGTACGGCTCCCACAACACTAATGGACAGCAGGCCTCCCAAGGCTGAAAATGCAAAAAGCAGTGTGACCCCCACATTAACTGCGGGGAATACATGCCTTCAGTTTCTTCTGCAACATGGGCCCCAGGGCAAAAATCTGGATGGCAAATGTTACCATGATGAAGGCATGCAGGGACCGGGGAAGGCGTGAGGCTAGGCAGACAGAAGCGAAGATGGCCATGTTCAAGGACAGTGTGCTGGACACAATGGCAGCATCGGCACCATAATCAAAGAACATTAGGTGGCCTAAGAGCATGAAAACGGACATGGCATAGATGGTGTCAGCGCTGACAGATTCTGTAAGGGTCTTTAGCACTGGTGAAAAATCGTAAGTGGAAGTAATGAAAACCAGAGCACTCTTCAGGTCAGCCCACCGGGTCCGCCCACTCTTCTTCCGCCCTTCACCTCCATCAATGAGATCGAACAAAACGTACCCAATCAATGAAGAAGCCAGGCCAGTCCCAAAAAGCCAGCGAGGTGCTAGAACACCCTCATCCATATACCACCAAATAACCACAAAAACACAGACACTGCAGAGCTGCTGTTCAACAACACTGGTCTCAAATACCACAGCCCAGTATTGGTATTTCCGGGCATAGATATTTTTCCGGAGCTCTTCCAGGAACCTCCGGTCCACGTAGTTATCAGGGAAAGGCTGTCGCTCATATAAGACCTTCTGCCAAAGGTCTGCCAAAGACCTTCCTTTTCTCTTCTAACTAGTTTTTTGTATCCTACTTAAGATATTCTTTGGAGCTTTTAAGGTTCTCCTACATTTTCGTTTGGAAGCTTTATATACATTCCATCTGTGATTGATTTTGCATATGAGTTTACTGGTAGTCAGGGTTCATCTATTTATTTTTTCAATGGACTTTTTATTCTCAAATAGTCAAAAAAAGAAAAAAAAAACATTCCCAACAAGAACTATGACAAATATTAAAATAGTCTTTAGTGTATAGAAGTACTTTAAAGACAACGTGGTTGTCAGTATTCTGACATCACAAATGCATTAATAATTACTTCTTAGCTTTAGAATGATAAAAATGATTTTGAGCTGGATAGAGATTCCAAAGCCAGCCACCAGGACATATACTTTTCTGGAGCTATTCAAATAGAATATAGGAGAGCATCAAAGTGGAGAAAGCCCAGAGACAGTACACTAACACGTTTTAAGCTCTTGGCCTTGGACACAGGTATTTTCATGCTGTTGTATTTTGCCTTTGTCTTCTTTATTTTTCCCTTTCCAACAAGTGACCTTGACTTCTATCCACTCTGGCCCTCTGCTGTGGACCTCAAGCTCTTAGCAGGGGCTAGACGGGCGGTGTCCTCCACTCCTGCCTCCTCTCCCAGGCCCCCGGGGTGGTGGCAGACTGTGTCTGTGTTGGCACATTGTCAAGGAGCCTGTCTTTGGCTCCCTCCCTCTGGGTACTGTGCTGGACATCTATGGCCTGCCCTGACGTCCTTGTCTGGCAGCCTCCTCCGCAGCCCCTTTCACTCGAAGCAGCTCCGTTTAATTCTATATGCATATCCAATTGAGCCAGCATTATTTATTGAAAAAAATATTCTTTTCCAAATAAACAGCAGTGGAATTTCCTGTCCATCCCATGAATATGTAGAGGGGGTTTCTGTTCCGTTTCATTATTTTCTCATCTTTATGCCAATATTAATTTCACTCTTCTGAGGGAAAAATTTACAAATTACTCATTCTTAAGATTGTTTTGTGTACTCTATATGCCTTACATTTTCACATAATTCTTATAGTTTACGTATAAATTTTTAACATACACATCTAACACAAACTCTCTCAAGAACGAACATCTGTTTGAATTTATACTGAGACTTCGATAAATCAACAAATGAATTTGGTAACCCATTGATGTCTGTATAACTTTGGGTCATTCAATCCATAGAAACCTCTACATGGTTTACAGAATCATTTTTTTCATTTTGTATCTTGTTTCTTACTTCTGGAAATATTATCAACTTTATGCATAGATTTTGTCTCCTTTAATATTGGCCTGTGTATGAGTATGCTAAGTTAGACTCTTATACTAACCATGCTTATTTACTTAATCATTCCAATAGTTTATTTGTAGAGTATTTTGGACTTTTTGTTTATATCATGCCATCTGCAAACAATGACAGCTTTAATTCTTCATTTTAAAAACTTATCTGTCATGTGTTTTCTTGTCTTATCCTGCCTAGGACTCACAAGGGTTTTAAGTTGAGAAATCTTAAGATAAAATATTCTCATAACTATGAAGCAAAGAGGTCACATGGATCAAAAATGGAGAAAGGAACCCTGTCAATTTCCTGGTCTAACAGTCAAGGCCACTGAAGATGGTAGCTTGGATCAGGGAGGTTACTACATATATGGGGAGAAGTAATTACATTCTAAGTATACTTTAGGTGTATCCTCAACAAGAGTTTCTTTTTAAAAGATTTATTTACTTATATGCTATTTTGAAATGGAGAAATAAAGAGTATGAGAGAGAGAGGGAGAGTTACCATCCTTACATCATTGATTCACTCCCAAAATCGCATAAGGCAGGGCTGGGCCAGTCTGAAGCCAGAGCCAAGAACTCCATATTTGTCTCCCACATGGGTGGCAGGGGCCCAAGTACTTGAGTTATCATCTGCTCTTTTTCAGGTGCATTAGCAGGGAGGTGGATCAGAGGCAGAGTAGCCAGGGCTGGAAGCAGCATGCCAATATGGGATGCTGGTGTTGCAGGAAGGAGATTATCTTTTTATTCTACAATTCTGACACCTCAACAGGAGCTTCTGATATGAGATGTCATCATAAGAGGAATGCTGAAGGACTCCAGGTTTTTATAATTATTTGACAAAGCATTTGAGCAAGAGAAGTTACATATTGCTAAGGTGCAAAAAATAATATTGGGAAATTAGTGTGTAGGGATAGGGAAAGAGATTGTACATTCATAGTTTGTTTTTTTTTCTAATTAACTATTTTTTTTTTAGTTGAGAGAAAGCAGACAGAGAGAGGTGGAGAGGGAGAGAAGAGGAGAAAGAGATCTTCTGTCTGCTGGTTCACTCCTTAAAGGGCCAAAACAGCCAAACCTGGGTAGGGCCAAAACCAGGAGTCAGGAACTCCATCCTGGTCTTTCACAGGTGTATTGCCAGGTGTATTGCCAAGAAGATGGATTGGAAATAGAGCAGCAGAGATTTGAATCCATGCTCCAATATGGGATGCTGGTAACACAAGGGCTGGCTTAACCCACTGCACCACAAAGACAGCCCCTGCATATACAGTTTTGACCATATGAATAGGATGTAGCTACTATAGTTCTTAATAGTTAGGTTGTATTAGTAGTTTGATATGATAATCTGAAATTAGGGAAAGAGGTTTTTGAATTCTATACATATATATTTGAAAGTCATCAGCATATTAATGATATTTAAGAATGCAGGACATTTGAAATAAATGTAGCTAATAAGAGGAAAAGTATAAAAACTTAGCTGTACAACCCTCTGCCATTTTTGGTTGTTCATTTTCATATAGTAAAGTGTAATGAAAAGGAGCAGCCACTAAGGTAGAGGAAAACCAGGAGAGTACGATTTTCCCTTTAGCTAATAGAGAAAAATGTTTAAAAAGCAAAAAGAATGATCAACTGTGTCATCTATTGCAGATAGTTCTAGTAAAGCGAGGGCTGAAAATGGACCATTAGGTTTAACTACTTGGAGCTCATTAAATAAATGGAATTGAAATTCTGATTGGCAAATCTCCTTCCCACTAAAAAGTGGTTCTACTTAATGACAGAGACCTCCTATCACAAGTACACAATTTAGTAGCAGTGAGTGTGGTGTTTTTATCTATAAACAACAATCATTTTGTTAAGTTTGGGGAAAAAATTAGTGCTTATGTCAGTAAATTTCAAAATGGTAGTCATGTTTTATTTTTCACCAATGTCTTCAAAAAAGGGCAAAGTTTGTTTTGGCTCTGTAATGCTTTCTGCATTTTTTTTGCTGCCTTTATAATTGTCCTCTATTTCACCCAAAGCAATGGATCATCCATAATGACAAAAGGAAATCACCATATGCCTCATTCATATTAATAAGAGATCTTTGTATCCAGCCTTCCAACAGTATTTGCATTTTAAAGACAATCACTGATTGAAAGCTACTTTAATACACAGAAGTCAATCACTAATCAGGAAATGTAAATCATTTCTCTGGTAGATTTTGTGGACCTATCATATCAGTAGGCAACTACAGGGGGAAATGAAGAAATACATTCATGAAGCATTAAGACACAAAATTTCAATATTCTAATATGATCTTATGAAGAAATACATTCATGAAGCATTAAGACACAAAATTTCAATATTATAATATGATCTTTTAGAGTTAATAAGAATTATTATGCAAAAAAGTGACCAGCTATTCTTAAAATGGATCTAACTCCAAGAGTGAAGAAAAGTTGGTCTTGTGAGCTATTGTAGGATTCTGTAAGTCTGTTCTAATTCCTGATTCCTTTCATCCATTCAGTAAATAATTTCATTGACAAGAATACATACATATATATTTTTTTCAGAATTATTATGTTAGTTTCTCATTAGAGTTATTACCTCAGATTTTAAAAAGGTTGTTTTTCAATGGCCATGTGTTTCACTTTTGAGAAGAGGACCCCCAAATAGTCATCAAAATTTTGTCATTTATTTAGATAACATTTGAATATTATCCTCTAAAGTTCTCTTTCACATATTTGCTGAAAGAGTAAAGATCAGTGCGGTTCAGGATTTATGCCTTTGTCATTGGCTCAGTCTTCCCTTTTAGACTATTGCCAAAGAATGGCACAACGCAAACAACCCAAATCATCTAATTCAATCAAAATAACTTAAAGTTTAATCATCAAAAATTGAGTTTTTATTACAAGATAAGGGAGAATTTGATCTCAAATATTTTTAGATCAAATTTACCTGGTCAGAATAACAAAAATTACTAATAAATAAATAATCTCTTTCCTCCCTCTCATAAAGAGTTAATGATTAACATACAAGAACCAGATCTGTTGTAAAGAAAACAAACATGATTTTGTTTTCTGCTGTACCCCTGTGGCTCCTGGCCAGCCTGTAAAGGAAAAATATGTATAAGAACCTAGGAGAGGGGCTGCCGCTGTGGTGCAGTGGCTTAACGCCCTAGCCTGAAGCGCCATATGAGTGCTGGTTTGAGACCCAGCTGCTCCACTTCCCATCCAGCTCTCTGCTATGGTTTGGGAAAGCAATGGAGGATGGCCCTGATCCTTGGGCCCCTGCACCTGTGTGGGAGACCTGGAAGAATTTTCTGGCTCCTGGCTTCAGATTGGCACAGCTCCAGCCATTGCGGCCAACTGGGGAGTGAACCATTGGATGGAAGACCTCCCTCTCTCTCTCTCTGCCCCTCCTCTCTCTATGTAACTCTGACTTTCAAATAAATAAATAAATAAATATTTTAGAAACTAAGAACCTATGAGAAATCTAGTTTTCTTATATATTCTGTAAATGCTCAATAGTAGGTTACTTATTAATTAAGGCCATTGAGTATTTATGTTTATTTTTAGGAATTATAGAAGCTCGATGAGAAATCAAGAAAAACACCACAGTTCAACTAGAGCTGACTTTTCCCAAGTTAGATCATGAAAAATATTCTATGCTTAACTCAGATTGCTCTATAACTGTCTTTCCATTAACCAA